GAATATCTCCGAATGCTCTAGCTGTGTTTATCTAGGTCGGGAAGTCAACATGATGAACGACCTAGCTCCAGAGCTGTGCAGAAGGAAACGCGCCGCGTGGGGAGCATTTAAGAATATCGAGGGAGTAGTGAAGAAGACAAAGAACATCCGGCTCCGCGCTCACCTTTTCGACACTGCTGTCCTTCCTGCTTTGACGTACGCCTCGGAGACCTGGACTCTACGAAAGCAGGATGAGCATGCTGTCAGCGTTATTCAACGCGCTTTGGAAAGGACGATGCTCGGAATTTGTCTATACACACAAGTGCAGAAGGGAATCCGGAGTTCCAAGCTCCGTCACCGAACGAAGATTAGGGATGCCGTTGATTACGCCAAGAAATCGAAGATCAGTTGGCCGGACACGTTATGCGATATAGTGATGACCGTTGGACCAGGGCGGTTACTGACTTGATCCCTCGGGACATCAAACGAACTCCAGGAAGGCCGCCAACGAGATGGTCAGACTTCTTCACGAAAGCTCTGAACGAAAGGAATGTTGAACCTCGTGTCCCTGAAGCGAGAACGGTTCACTGGACCACTCTGGCTCGTGACAGGGACGAATGGAGACGTTACTGGCGCCCGCTCGAGGAATTCGATGATCAACGGGACGACAGGCGACAGGTGACAGGTGATGCAGGAGGGGATTCGTAGTTTTGAGTTTTTTAACGAATGAAGATCAGTATTGCCGTTGCTTACCCAACAAATCGAATATTGGTGGATCTAACATGACATACTATGTATAGTGTGAAGGCCGCTGGACCAGGGCGCTTACGGACTGGATCTCGTGGAATATCAAACGATCACCAATTTGCAGTTGCAAATGCGATGGTCAGGCCTCTCCGCGCAAGATCCGGACGAATCAAGTGTTATGCCACGTGTCCCTACAGCGATGACGCTTCATTGGACTACTCCAACTCGCGGCACGACGATTGGACACGTCGCTGACTCACTCGAGAAAATCAATGATCATCGAGGCAACAGGTCATACCAGTGACCCGCAACATAAGATATGAGATCAAGGAACAGGTAGGGCGCAGTAAATCAAGTCATAACATATTTTGACACGCAAGAAACTGATCAATAATGATACCATCGCAACTTTTGCGGTGCCTCCTTTGAGCCCCTATGAAACGGTGGTCGAAGTCATTTTGTGTTTCGCCTTCCAGTGGCCAATGAGTAAGGCCTTCACTTCATTTCTGTGACCGACCGGGTATCTCTAGGGTCCGGACTCGCCGTGTGCAAAATGTTTGCAAACTTTGAACCACATTGGTGACAAAAGATGTGCCCTTCGGACTATTTCAGCAAGTTCTATGCAGCATTGCCCGCTGTTCTCGTGATACGGCGAACTAACCAGGGAGGGGTAGTCTACTTATCTTGGAACTTTGAATTCAGATCCAGATAAATCGACAGAGTTTTGAATGCTGTCTACGAAAATGGGAATTAAAACTGCAAAATGATTCTCCTTAAAAAGTTATGGGGGCCCGAATTTCGCTCAACAGTAGTATCAATTGTCTAAAGAAATGTCAGAAAATGTTTAGAGAGCCTTTGATAAAATGAAAAAACACTTTGCAAAAGTGCTGATAATGGCGGGGAGGGACCCCTCATTTTACCCCCACGAAGCGAGACCACTACCACCAGGTCACGTGGGCGTTTGATATGGAAGCGGCGAGTTCGCATTTCCAATTGATACTACTGCCGAGCAGAATTCGGGCCCCCATAACTTTTTAAGGAGAACCATTTCGCAGTTTTGATTTCCATTTTCGTAAACAGCATTCAAAACTCTATCGAAGTATCTGGGTCTGAATTCAAAGTTTCAAGATAAGTAGACCACCCCTCCCTGGTAAGAGGCAGATCTTACAGAGACATGCATAAAAATTGCAGTTGCAAACGTGTTATCGTGATGACAATAACGCCCGAGGCTGAACTGCATTTCTCTCATCATATTATTTGGAATGGGCTGTATACAAGTATATGACACTAGGCCTCTTCAGTGGGCCAATAGAGATTGATAATGAGGGGTGGACTAGCTCGACGACCAGTTGAAATACTATCCGACAATGTATTATTGGAGTTTTACATGGTTTCATGGCAGACTCCGGTACTGCGGACTATGGCTACCAGGATCCGGTTTCAAAATATTCAGTTCACATGCTAACTCCCTTGGCCATCTTCGAGTAAGCACTTTCGATCGATTTGCCGCAATTCTTTGTGCATAATGACAGAGAATTTTCAATAGTAAACCTTTTCATGCTAACACCATACCTTATATGCCTACAGGAAACGCATAGCTAGGATAAAGCTGCAAACTTCCAGGAAAGCGGTTATTCAATCCACTGTTTTCAGCTGGAATAGCTAAAATATTTCAAATGAGGCATCAAACAATAATGCCGATTTTATGCGCTCCTCGAGTATTTTATCACACGTGTCTTACAAACATTGACAGAGTATGCATTTGCAACAGAATATCTGGAGACTCAATTTTACGGGAAGTTTGAGTCGAACAATGGATGAAAGAAAGTTATGGTTTGTCGCGAATTAACCTGTTGACGCCATCCATTGAACATAAATTAGTAGCGGTACTGTCCACATATCACCACTTGTCACATCTCTGTCAAAACCTGTGATCTTTGTGAATGCTTCCTGATTTGCTTTGGACTCTGAAAACTGCGATTGGCTTCTTTTATCTATGCGCCCTCTTACTAAGAGCTTAATTATAATAATTTGAGCTCCGTCGCTTGCCGTGGGTCACAGGCTGTTGGACATCTTCGTTTGATTTTATCAGTCTGTACGTCCAACTCTACTGAAACTCTAAATTTATCGACTGTCAAACGTGCAACTCGGATCTCAATAGATTCAGAATCGAACTGGTGACAAATTCTAATTCAGTTGATTCAGTTAAACGTATATTAAGATTCGCGAATGAGAATATAGTTGTCAATGACTATAAAGGCATACGGGTGGCCCACTGTTTAGGAAGCACTTAAGGTAACGAGCGAGCTATTACAAAGTTCTGGTCTTCACAAGTTTTCAGTTTTTTCCAGTCGCTATGCAATTAATTTTGTAGGATTTTGTTATACGTTTGTGAGCCGCTGGTAGACGGCTGATAGACAGGGATATCAGGGAGGTTTATTGGTCGAACCGAGTGAGACGAAGTTATGAGAGAGAAAAGTAGTCACTGGTAAATTACTGGGTTTATACACAGTGTTTACACCTAGTAAGTCATATCAGCGTTCAGTGATCTCAGTAATCTGTGGACCTAACACCTCCCCTTTTTAGGAGAAAGTTACAAACAATACTGACCTTTTCATATAACAACTGACAATAAATCTTCTGACGCGGATCCACTTGGAGATGAGTTGTTGGTCGTCTTGTGCGCGTCGATCGTCGTGGGTGGTAGTAATTGAGTGGTAGTTATCCACTGATGGTGCTTGCTCGGTGTGCTGTGTCAGTTCTGGTGGCAAGCTAGCTGACTGAAATGAAGGTGTCGGTTGCTGTGGCAGGTCGAACATTTCGAACAGTGTATCTATGCCCTGGCGTCGTGTTATAGCATCGTCATAGTAGCGTAGTCGGAGTCGATTGGCATGTCGAACACAGACTTTGTTGCCTATAAGAACGCTGTAGAGTACTTCCCCAACTTGTTTGAGTACTTTTCCCTGCTCCCCTCTTCTCGATTTCCATGGCACTGACCTGCGAGAACGGGATCTCCTGAGTTGGACACACGCTCCCGGGCGCCATGATGCTTATTGAACTGTGAGATATTGGATGGTTGCGCTTTGGCGTCTGCTGTGGGGTTGGCTTGAGCAGAGCCAGATCGGTCCGGAATTTTCTTCCGGTGGAAAGTTCTGACAGAGATTTGTTTTCATTTACTGTCGGACTTGGGTTTGAGCGATACGTCAAAAGGAAGGTATGCAAACTTTCTGAGAGTGTTCCTTCTCGTTTTAATATCGATAGAGCCCTTTTGGACGTGTCAACGAATCTCTCTGCTTATTCATTGGACTATGGATGATATGGCGGGGGGAAGACCTGTTTTCTGTGATTTGCGCAGAATCTTTTGAATTCATTCAAGGTGAATGGTGTTCCGTTGCCGGAAACAAGTATCCATGGGAACCCGTATCTTGCAAATGTTCTCTGTAAGAGCGAGATTGTGGCGTTCGTCGTAGTACTATTGGTGTTGAAAATCTCCGGCCATTTTTGAAAAGGCATCTACGATTACTAAAAACTAAGTTCCTTCGTATACGCCGGTGTAATCGACGTGAATTCGAGTCCAGGGCCCATTGGGTCGCGGCCATGACGCGAGGGTGTCTTGATTACAAGCCTAGCGACTGTAGAGCATTTGGTGCAGTGCCGCACAGTATTTTCGATATCCTGATCGATTCCAGGCCAGTAGGCATAGCTGCGGGCTATGGCCTTCATGCGTGCGATTCCAGGATGTCGATTGTGTAACTGTCGAAGAACGTTTGACTGCAGGAGTTCTGGGATGACCACTCGATCGGCTATTAGAAGACATCCGTCGAGAGTTGAAAGTGCATTCCGACGATTGTAGAAACAAAGAAACTTGGGATTTGTGGTTTTTTGTCAACCATGCTTCTCTGAGGCAGCTGTTGACTTGTTGAAGGAGACGATCCTGGGCAGTCCCTTTCCAGGCTTCATCCGCTGTGACCGGTAGTGCTTGAACAGCGTTGGTGAATATGTGGTTGATGTCCTCATCTGCGGATATTGCACCGGTACTCGCTCTTCTTCCAGGGCCGAGTATGTTGCAATGAGGCGTGAAAGTGCATCTGCCTGCCCGAAATTTCTGTCGAGCTGTACTGGATATGAAAATCCTATGCCAGAAGGTTGGGACTGTCAAAAGACTGCTCACCTTTGTAATCTGTTAGCGGCGTATACTGGAATTCCTTTTTTTTTTGAACCAAGCGAGCAGGGGGTTATGGTCCGTTGAAAGCGTGAATTTGCGCCCATGAAACATCCTGTGAAGTTTTTGGACGGCGAATATAAGCACAAGTGCTCTTTTTCGACTTGGCTGTAATTCTTTTCGGCTGGCTGAAGTGAGCGAGAGGCGTGCCTTCTCTGATCCGTCCTCGTAACGATGTGAGATCATTGACCCAATCCATAGCCTGATGCGTTAGCGGCTATGATTATTTCCTGATTAGGGTCGTAATGTGCGAGTAAAAGATCTGAACAAAGTATTGCTTTTGCTCTATTGAAACTGTCATTGCATTCCTTGAACCAGTTGAATTTCGCATTCTTCGTCAAGAGAGCGTCGAGAGGAGCACGCAGGCTTCGCATCCCTTTTATGAAAGCACCGCAATAGCCTAGGAGACCTAAGGAAGATCGAAGTTGTGAAATGTCTCGAGGGACGGGCATCTTGGTGATTGCTTCAATTTTCTTCGGATCTGGGCGTCGTCCATGCTTGTCGATGATGTATCCAAGATGGTTGATTGGGGATTTTGAAAACCAGCGTTTTTCCATGCGTACATGAAGCCCACTCTTAGTGATTCTTTTGAAAGGTGCGTGCAGGTTCCTCCTGGGCTCATGTTCTATGCGCCCCACAAAGGTGACGTCATCCAGCTACGCTACAACTCCAGGCAGGCCGGCTAAAGTCGTATCCATAATCTGCTGGAAAATGGCTGAGGCTAATTTGACGCCGAAGGGTAGGCTGTTGTATTGGTACAATCTCCGATGGGTGTTTTTGGTTAACAACTGCTTTGATTGCTGATCCATTTCAATCTGTAGATATGCATCAGCAAAATCGATATGGGTAAAGTATGCCCGCCGGTAAGTGTCGCAAGGATATCTTCAGGCAGAGGTATTGGATACGGATGGAGGTTCAGGGCATCATTTAGGCCCGTTGAAAATTCTCAGTGATCCATTAGACGTCCGTACAATAACTATAGGTGCGGCCTATTCCGAATAATGTACCTTTGGAATCACTCCAATTGCTTCGAGTCGATCAAACTCCTTTTCTACGGCTGGAATAGCTGCGTACGGTACCGGTCTTCTCGGGCGAAAAACTGGTTTCGCGTCCTTCTTCAGGCGAAGGGTGGCTTGTGAGAATTTGTACAATCCAAGGTTGTTGCCGAAGACTTCAGGATAAGACTCTTGTAGCTCCTTTGCAATGCGGTCAGTGCTTGAACAGTTGCTGCTTACATTGACTACGGTGGAATGTGCAGGATCAGCATTTGGAAGCGGATCCATGATGCCGTAGATTCCCAGCTCAGAAATTCATTCTGAGCCTAGAAGATTGGGTTGTGAGCGGCCAACGTAAAACGTTCGTTGAGCAGAGTTTGAACTGAAGCTGTAAGTGCAATCTCGCTGTCCTATGAACTGAATCCGATCTCCTGAAGCGCTATGAGCGTTGAGCGATGGAGACTGGAGCCGTGGTTTGCCCATCTATTTCCATGTCGACTCGTTGATAATCGTTATGTCCGTTGTACTGTTCACTTGAAAATGTACAGGTTTTCCGTCCACAATTATTGTGGCATATCGTCGGTAACTGCCATGCACACTTGCCACATGAATATGGCATCAGATCTTGTGGTTGGCCCGGTGGGGTGACGATTGGAGCGCGTTGCGCGGTGTCGTCGTCGCGTTGAATAACAGAATTCTTCCTTGTGACCTACTTTGTGGCAGTCTGAACATTTGTGTCGTCGATATGCAAAGAATCGAACGAAATGCATTTCTCCCGCAATGAGCGGTTTAATCCGGTTCTGCGTTTGATGTGGGTTGACAGACGTTCTTTGTTTCTTTGAAGTGGTGGGTGCCGTTTAGTATCTGAGTGTTTGACTGCGTGTACGCCAGGTGTCCCAGTCTCTACCATTTTCGTGTCTTGTTTCAAGTTAGTGAGTCGCTTGCATTCTTCCGGGAGGGACTGGACGGTACATGTTGGATCGGCCTCGATTTTGTCTAGTAATTTCAGGCGAATGAAGTCGTCGTCGCTGGATTGTGGACCGCTTTTGAAGATTAGACACGTGAATTGATTCTCGTTGCACTCCGCCAGCCTGAATTTGGCGCATTCACGATTGACACGTCCTGCATAGGTGGCAAAGTCGTCGTTGGGATCCTTGGTCAGCTTCATGCAGGTGTAACGACGGCTGAACAACGACTGCTGTGGTCCGAACAGGCTCATGAGTGTTGAGACGGCTTCTTCGAATGTGACATCGCGCTGTTTTAGGTAAAATATAGTTGGAGTACTTACCATAAGCTGCAGCATCCAGCTTGTGAAAAAGAAGTCGAACTCGAGTTGGCTCATCTAGCATCTGAGCGTCCACGGTGAAGATCTCTTGATGCCGTTGATACCATGCTTCAGGTTAGATTAGCGTCGGGTCATAGCTGAACTCCGCGATTCTTCCTGCCAACACGTCGAAACTTCTGTCTGCTTCCATTGCCTGTGAGGTCGATTTCGCCATCTGTTGTCCTTTAAAAGCGTCTGTGAGTGCCATCAGGAGTTGTTGAAACTGCTGTTCCGTCATTGTTGCCATAATCCTGATCACTACTGTTACGTCTGTGAGCCGCTGGTGGACGGTTGATAGCCAGGGATATCAGGAAGATTTATTGGACGAACCGACTGGGACGAAGAGATGAGAGAGAAAAGTAGTCACTGGTAAATTACTGGGTTTATACACTGTGTTGTGTTTACACCTAGTGAGTCATATCAGCGTTCAGTGATCTCAGTAGTCTGTGGATACCTAACTACCTGTGGATACCTAACAGATATGCTACCTACGACCAAAAGCCCATCATTGTTATATTAGTTGACGCAGTCAGGTTGATCGATGCAATGAATTTTTTGCTTTCCACCGCATTCCCTCATTTTTAGGTTTCTAGAGATAAAAGGATAAAGGATAAAGTTTTAGACGTTAATCAATCCCGTCTGAGGGATGCGCCCCCGCACTCGACTTCCATTCAGAATCGTAGTGGCGTAATGCGTGCGTATATGACCTATACAATGACTTGCGGTGGCCAGCCGATGTACAAGTCAGTGCTTTTATCCTCCCAGACGAGTCTGGTACCAATTAACCGACCTCGGAGGCATGGAAAGCTTGGTTGGCATAGGCGGGCATCGATCCGAGATTCGAACCCCTGACCGTGCGTGTGAAATAGTGCGCCACTTGCGTCTGTACCACCTCCGCCCTTTGGTCGAGTATAGGCGAAAGGATAGGGATACCGACGGGAGTTGACATGACTTGACTCTGCCCACAGGAGGCGAGACGAACACGAAAATTGCTAAATTATACACGACGCGTTCAAATGTGGAACAAGTGCAGGCGGCAGAACTAAGGCGCCGATGCTAGGTAGCATAAAGTAAGTGGAATTGTTCCAGCGGAAGCTCGAAGAGGTCTAGGGGGCCATGCGTGAAGTGAGCGTACTTCAAGTAAAAACACGCAGCCAAGTTGGAATATGAGGAACTGAACCCAACGCGCGAAGTGTGTCTATGTGTTCAGTTGTAACTCGATAGCTTCAGTTTTCTTGGACCAGAAAAACCAAATTTGGGAGAGCGTAGGCGGTGGGTCAATTTATGACAAGAAGGAGAGCCCGGAGTTAGCCGGGCGATCTGACTGGTACGTACATACAGTAGCGCTCAAAAATCTTCGGCCAAATGCTTATTCAGTCTTTTCACTCGTAACCCTTTTCCTAATGGACCTAATCATGCGAAATTTCAATATGTGTAACATGGGTGTATTGTGAATAATTACCACTATCATGCTACAATCTTATCATGTCCCGGTTATCCTAAAGCTTGAAAATATACGGATATGATCTTGATGATCCTTCTAGAATTACTTTCCTTTTTGCCGTGTCTCAAGTGTACGAGCTCTAATACTGAACACAGTAGAGGAGAAAAACGCACATTAGGTGTGAAAAGCTAAAGACGTACTTCACCTTGCTTTTAGCGAAGTCTACTACCGCAACAAACACCTTTTTCTAATTACATGGGTATTGCTGCTTCGCAGCCAAGCAGTGTTTTATAGCGTGAAATAAGCTTCAGTTAAACATATCAAAATTCGGCGCCATTTGCTCCACTAAGAAAAGTTATGAACGATGAACGAAAAGGCGTGAGAACGTTTGGCCGAAGTACATACATATGGGCATACATACGTAAACATAACATAACATAACATAAGATAACATAACATAACATAACATAACATAACATAACATAAC